TGTGCAGTCTGATTGAGGATTACTGGGTGGTGCCTTGATGAGGACTTTCAGTTTAATCCTTTCAGCAGGTAAATCCTCCATGCTGTTTAGATTACAAAACTGACCACCAAATTCTTCATCCTGGAATTGGATGAAAATCTCATCCTCCAAGTTGAGGCATGTCTTCAGCAGTATCTTCAGATCATCCACTTTCTCTGGAAGCCTTTCAATACGAACTCTCTGGATGTTGTCATCTGCAAGGACGACGTGAAGCAACATGTTGACTTCTATATAGATGAAAACAGGGGAAACGAGATGTGAAACCAGAGCAAAAGAGCAACAAGTGAAATTTTAACATTTGTCAAATATATGAAAAATGTTTATGACTATAAGGCATACTTAATATACCTATATAGCTGTTTCAGTAGAATGAGCTCTACGAAAACCTGACTGGAAGCTATCATAGATGTTATGTTGATCAAAAGCAGCTGTGAGTTGTTTAGCCACAACCTTTTCCAAGATCTTGGAAATGAACAGAAGTTTAGAGATGGGTCTGAAGCTGCTATGGAGAGAGGTGGCAAGACTCGTTTTTCTTTAAGAAGCGGGTGGATTACAGCATTCTTAAAGCAGGGGCCTGACCAGAAACCAAAGAATTAATAATGGAGAGCAGGCTGGGACCAATTGACTGAAAAGCACTTTTAAACAAAGATGAGGGTAAGATGTGGAGGGGGCATGCAGAGGTCTTCATAGAGTTAACTAGTTTGGTTAACTCAGGCAAAGAAACAGGAGCAAAGCTATCTAGGATGATGGGCCTGGTTGGAGTCGGGAGAGGCAGCGATAAGGCTGAAGGAGAGATGCTAGATCTAACCTTATTGACTTTGTCCACAAAGAAAGACAGAAAGTTCTCACAGTCTGCAACAGAGTGGATGGAGGCTGTAGGAGAGGCAGGAGAGACGATGCTGCTGATGGTGTTAAACAGCACCTTGGGGTTCCCTTTGCTCTGGGACACCAGGTTGGAAAAAATAGGAAACCCTAGCGTCTCTAACTGCAGAGTTAAAGGATGTCAGAAGATCCTTTAGGTGCAGCATATGGACGTGGAGATGGGTTTTCTTCCACAAACGCTCAATTTTTCTGCATTGGCGCTTCAGGCTGCGAAGGCTGTCATTAAACCAGGGAGTAGGGTTCACTGCAGGAACTGATCTGGTTCTGACAGGACAGATGATGTCCAGAATGGTGAGGCAATGTTTGTTGAACTGAGAAGTTAAGGAATCTGGGTCGTTATCAGAAGAACAGGGTGGATCAAAAGCAGCAGAAGAATTGCTAGCTGTGCTCTCGTTAAGAAAACGAGAACTAACCATACGAGAGGCAGGAGGTGGGGACGCAGAAACTGACAAGTTAAAGAAAATGCAATGGTGATCTGAAATATAAACGTCCTCAGGACAAACACTGTCAGCATTTAGACCCAGGGTAAAATAAATAAATAAATAAGGTCTAGTGTGTGCCCCCTGGTATGTGTGGGGCCAGAAACATGCTGGGTAACCTCACATTGAAAATATTTTAAGTATTCCCAACTAAAGATTCTCATTAGTTTTGTAGAATAAAAATTTTTTTTTGCAAACATTGCCTTTTTAAGATTAAAGTGACAGTGTGTCGTTTTTGACATTAATCTCAGGAAATATCCATTTGAATGTTGTTGAAAAAATAATAAAACAAAGGCCATTCATTGAAAAATATTGGCACCTTTGTGACATATAACTATAAAAATCTGGTATAAAACACACAGGCAAGGATCTGACTCTGGTGGACGCCATAGTGGATTCCACGTTTCCTTTGCTGTATTTATGATTTTGCTGGAAGTTTTTAACTTTTGAAAAGTGCACACTTTTTCTTTTCTTGTGTTTTTTTTTGGCGGGTGGCACTCCATGTAAAAAGCTACATTTTCCACCAAATAAAGTATTTAAGTGTGAACCAGAGTCATTAACCTCATTTCCTAATTAGAGAATCGCAACTACACTCCAGAGGGGGTTTTGGCCTTTATGGGCATTAATTGGTAAGGTTCTCACTTGAACAAACCCGTTTGATTATAGATTCACTATACAATTAAGTTTATTTCTCATCAAATAGAATATTTACTAAGAAATCACAATGTAACTACAGAAACATTACTTGGTATATATGTTGTGTGTGTAGATGTGTGTGGGTGGGCTGGCAGTGTGTGTGTAACTGCTCTGTTTTCTCCATCCCCAGTGAGTCGTGGAGGATGGCTGCTTATACTGAGCCAGGATCCTCTGGAAGTTTCTTCCTGTTAAAAAGGAGTTTTCCTCTCTTCTGTTGCTAAATGCTTGCTTAGTATGAGGATTGCTGTAAAGGCTCTGACACTAGTCAGTGACTTGATGCAACCTGCTGGGTTCCTTAAATAGGAAACTTTTTTCTGATTAACTTAATGAACTGACCTGTATTGGAAGGTTTGCTGTGTTAAAGTCCTTGAGACTCTTGTCGTAATTTGACGGTTTATAAATAAACTTGAATTTAATTAAGTGAATAATTTACTTACTTAAGATATAAATGGACCACAATAGACACCAAGAAGGTCTTGTGAAGTCTGGAGAGGATGCACAACCTCAACACAAATCTGTGGAAAGTTGACATAAAGCAAAACAAATATCACAAGACAGGTGATCAACTCTGCATTTGACCTCAACATCTGGTTTTCCCGAAGGCATACATGTTGACAAATCTAAGCTATATTAAAAAGTCAACATGTCGCAAAACACAATTAAATACCTTAACAAAGTAGAAAACCTTTAGGCGACACCAGGAGTCTTCCTTGAAGAAAGTAAGGAGACAGCGGACAGTAGTTGTTTAGTTCTTCTGGTTCTGCAACAATAAGGTCTGCTGTGGGATTCTTGGTAAGTTCATAGCACCTGAGATGCTCCAAAAACCAGGCCGAAAAAGGCTCAATAATGAACGATGCCTTGTCTGCAACAATGAGTACTTTGAGAATTTTGCCAAAATCTGGGAGACCACTTGTGGTGCCAAGGGAGACAAACATACCCTCGGTGTACTTTGTCCCGTGTAGAGATGCACTGGATGCAAGGGAGACGGATAGGATATCTTTGTACTTTGATTTGATGGCCTTTCTAACCGTATAATCCAAAATGTCTGGAGAAACTACAGACACATTAACAGCCTCTACTGGGGGCTTAAAAAGGCTCGGCATGTCCAGGAAGTAAGCTAGCATGAGTTGGTGCCTTGTGGCCAAAGTAAGTAAAATATTCTTGAAATTGTTTACGTCACAGACAACTTTTAAAAAAAAACTATGCTTAGCTTCAAAACGGATAGTCCAACAGTCAAGCAATGGTCCAAAGCAACGGATAAGGAGGGGATAATGTTCCACAAAATGATGTTTGGGTCTCAACTTGAAGTCCGGGAAACCATCCTGCAACAATTGCCTATGGAATGATATTTTGTGCTCCAAATAGCACAAAGATTCTGTTGTAAACACAGAGGAGGCCAAAAGTTCGACAATGTCTTTCAGTTCAAGAACTATCATCCATGTTGTGTTGTTCTCTGGAATTGGATGACCAATAATCAGGGGAAGCAGTCTCAAAAGAGTCCAATTCTCATGTCCATTTCCCCCAATTGTTCCATTTACTTTAAAAGTCTGAGGCAGTCTCTGGGGTCGATTAGTCTTATCTGTGAATGAGTATGGGAAGCTTTGAATGGCAGTGTTTAATTCTTCAAGAGTGATGTACTGATCAGAAATCAATTTTCCAAGACACAAGCTAAGTTCAACAGGCACAATTCCTTCTAAAAGGTCATGTAAAACATCAGGAGGAAATCCTGTTACTGTGTGGAAATACGTCAGGTTATTTAAAATACAGTCCCTTTTGACACCATCCACACATGACAGATCAGTGTCCTCTCTAAGCTTTGATACACTGGTTTCATAGGACAATTTATTCCGGACAGGAAAGAACGGGCTTCTGGCTTCAATGGTCTGAATATCCCTACGACTTGCCAAACAAAATCTGCAAAACTTATCTACATTAAATGACTCCTGAAAACCAGCAAGAGAATGTGCTCCCAAGTTATCAGCTGAGACTAAAAGTACAGTACCTTTAATATTAGCCCCCAGCTGCTGGATAAAAACACCTTGGTTTTCAAGTACTTGTATGTCTTGCAATAGTGGATCTAAAACAATAGTATAACCAAATTTTTTTAAATCATCACTCTTACACAAAACTGCAAGGTAAATAGATGACAGAGTGGATCTATATTTGACTGGTAGATTTGCAATTACCCAATACACAGCACACACTTTATGTTTCTTTCTGGAGGTACCCAATGGATTACACACTTCAAATTCATCTATATACAAACTGATTGCAATTGATAATGCCTCTCTGGAGAGAAGCGGATTTTCTTTGAAAAACAGACCATCACGAAATGACTTGATTTGGTCAGGCTGTGAGGTAACACAGGATTCTTCTAGCAACACCTTGTTAAGAATATCAGTCCTATTTAGCAATTCAGTTATCACATGCAATATGGGCACATATACAAAGCTTTTTTTAGTATCTCTATCCAATAAATACTCAACTGGCTCAATAACAATGAAATTGTCTTTGAAAAAACACAATCTTTTGTGATCTGTTCCAAATGGACCGGTCTTTGACAGAAAACCAAGAGGATTTTTTTCCTGTATGACCTCTGTTAATAGTGCCAAGGTGGGGCCTTCAATGTTCAAGTTGTGTTCCTTCAATACCTTTTCAATTGATCTCTTGGTGCACTCTCCAGCTAAAGAACCAATTTCATAGAGTTCATCAACTATTTCCTGTGTAGCTGACTTGGATACATGTAAAATTGTCTGCATACGCAGAAATAAGGATGCAACTCTATGCTTTATTGACTCCTCATTAACATCTTCAAATTCCTCCTCTTCAAGGGCATAATTTTGAGAAACCACAGTGTTGATTGATGCTACATCATCACATTCCCCAGGCTGTATTTCTGGTGGACCATGAATTAAGTCATGTCTTAAATCCTGTAACACACAACCACTGTGATATCTACTTCTGTGTGCTGTGTAAGTGGAATACACATTTGAACGGAAAAGACAATGACGAAAAGGGCACTTCAAAGTTTCCTTATTTTTTAAATGACCTCGCAGATGAACAAAGTAATCTTTAAGTGTACACAGCTCTGAAAATTTGCATACTTCACACTTCAGTTGGTATGTCACAATGCTGCTTTTTGGCACCAAAGGATTTTGAGCTCGACCAGTCACCGCTTCATGCTTAAGTAGATGGTTTTTGAGAGCTACTTGAGTCTTGAAAGAGCAAATACAGTCAGTGTAGATGCAAGGCAAAGGACAAGACCTGCTATAATGTCCGTGTTTGAATTTGTAGTG